CTTTTCCAACCTAAACGATTCTATGATTCTATGATTTCAATGTATGAGTAAGTGTGGTACTGTCATAGCCATATGATATAGCCCAGAGTCACCTTTGATAGCCAGGTTTTTTTTAATTCAACAGTCCATCTTTTTTCCATCTTCATTCCTGTAGAGGTGGCTTCAGCTGTCCTTTGAATACTTCAAGTTAGTGCAGGTGAGCTGGGTCAGAGAACTGATTTGACCTGACAAAAAATGAGTATTTGGCCAGATCAGTTTCTCAGTCTGATTCACCAGCTGGTTGCACAGACAGTTTCTTTTATGTCTGCTTTTCTCTGGCTTCTGTTGTTTGTTAATAGGTGCTTCCCCACACAGTTTGAGCTGCCACAAATTGCAGCTTGACTTGTTAAGGAAAACCAAAATGAGTGGCAATTTTCATTCATAGGTTGTCCTTTGAACTGGGGCAGCTTAGCTACTGCTGCCACTTCTTCAGGAGCAGTCAATCTATCCTGGCTGCTGGAGCTGAAATTTTTTGGGGAAGGCACCTGGGAACGCGCGTCTGCTGCAGCCACTCTGAGTTGCCTCAGAAGCCTGAGGACTCATCTGTGTGGAAGCTTTACCATTTCAACTAGAAAACTCCTTGTTTTACCCTCCCACTCTCAAGTGTATGTGTATTGTGATACAAGTGAGTCATTTCTATCTGTCTTATCTACCTATATTTTTATCTATATTCCCCTCTTCAGTGGAATAAACATACTAATGATGGTGTATGCTGCTATGATCAGAATGGTCTAAACAGGTACTGTGACTGCGCTGGAACTGGAGGTACAGCTGAATCGAGGTGTAGTATGTACATGGAGATCATAGCATTTTAAGCCTAAGTGAGTTGTGAGGGACATGTGCTGGGCATAACTGTACAGCTGCCTGTTCCTTTTTGGCTGAAATGATGGCTCCAGGTGCACGGGAAGCAGCTACAGAGCTACAGCTGTTTGCGGGAGCATCTTTCGTTGCGAAGGGAAGACCATCCTGCTGAGGAACATGACAGCAATTACAAATGTAGTTCCCACTTCGTTCCCAAAGTGGATGGCATTCTCTTTCATGAAAGAAACCCTGAAGCTTTTTTCCTCTGTATGTTCACAATGCATGTTCATTTACTTCCTCTGTGGTTCCTAGCGTGGTTGCATAGCCAGAGCTGTCTTCTTCAGGGGATCTGTGGGTCTGGGATAATCCAGGTTATGAAAAGTCTGGCTAAGCTTGGGTTCTGCAAGACTGAATAGATGACTCTTTACCGTGCTTTTCTGGAGCTCCAGTGGTAGCAGGACTTAGCTTAGATGTAGCTAAGTGCACTTACCTAGCTGATGCCTGTCTGGCACTGCTGTTGATCTAATATAGCACAATGAACCTGGAGTGCTGGAGAGCCCAGTGCACAGACACCTAATTTTGTTTGAGGGCTCACTCAGGTCAAAGGCTTCCTGGCACAGACCATGCCATAAGTGGCTGTGTTGGCACTGGGAAAGCAATATTGTTTCTCTGACTGGTCTGAGGTAGCTGTGCAAGGGGTTGGCTGTGTTGTTTGCACCCCTGGCATGCCAATTTGCAACCTGGATATATTATGCTGGGTGATGTTTACCAGCTGGGAACTGACTGTCCTCTTTTGATCAGACAATTTCTTTCCTAACTGTACTCTCTCAACTTTTTATGCAGATGTTGTGTGATTTGCCATGTTTTGATCTGGTCCTTTCCAATTGATAAGTGCTGTTAATGTCTCTATTCAGGCTACTTAAATTGCCCATAGGTGGAGTGACAGGGAAACTAGGACACGGACGGGAGGGGAAAAAAGCACCCAAAAATTTAAACTAATGTCATTCTAAGTCTGCACAGATTCATGATTTACTTATTGACAGAAACAAATTTTGGGACACTTGATTTTATTCTTTTCTGTGTACAGACTTGCAAAAGGAAGTTCAGCTATGGTCATTGCCTGCTTGGATAGGTAATTAGTTGCTTCAGAATGTGATTTAGGGCATTAACTTGTAATAACTGGCCATGCAAGGATGATACTCAGTTGTAAATGCTTATGACAATCAGGTGCTGCCCAGCATTGAAAGAGGACGGTAATACATTATGCAGAGGCAATGCTTGTGAGAGATGCTCTCATGAAGGATTGTTTTTGCACCCTCTGGGGCTGTGGTTTGATTGACGTTAATAAGTATGTTAATAAGTTAGTAAGTTAAAGCTTTGGGGATATACATTTGTGTATATACTCCACTTTATGTACATACACTTATGGGTTTTGTAAAAAGCTGTTATCCCTTCTGTTCCTAAAGCTAACCAGGATGTATTGTGATTTAATTTGTGTGCATCTCTGCTTTCTTTTTCAGATACATGTATTGGACTGACTGGGGTGAAACACCCAGAATAGAACGGGCAGGAATGGACAGCAGCACGCGAAAAATAATTGTAGATTCAGATATTTATTGGCCAAATGGACTCACGATAGATCTTGATGAGCAGAAACTTTACTGGGCTGATGCAAAACTGAGTTTCATTCATAGGGCAAATCTGGATGGTTCCTTTAGGTAAGTTTCCTTTAGTCGATAATGTGGTGTATGTTATTTCTCACCTCTTGCATTTGTTTTGAACCAAGGCTTTTTTTTCCAGTAATCTAGAATAATGTCAATACCTTATTGGTTTTTTTAAATGCAATTGTTAATAGCCTTGCAAAAAGTAAAATAGCCTCACATCCTATAAAACTGGTTTTAAAAGTAAGACTGTTTGTATCAGTATTTCACTATAGACTGTTTATAGCCTTCTAGTACAGCAGGATTTTTTATTTTTAGGCTCATACTTGTCTGCAAATAGTTGGAAATGCTTATCCTTGGCCCTAGGCAATCTAACATTTAACTAGTGACTGGGATTTTACAGTATTGTGACTGCATTTTTTTTTTAAACAAGAAATATACATTGATACACACTTGTCCTTGGCCCCATCCAAAGATGTCCTTTGTGGCATGCCTATAAATTAGCCAAATTCAGCTTATTTCAGACTGTGAGTGAGCAGAAAGCAAATTTTCCTAAAGCTTGATAGAAAGCACAGTATGGAAATTTTGGTTGGTGGCTCTTGTCGGAGTGTGCTGTTTAGTTTTGGCTTTTGTAGACACAGAGAGGTGACCCTTCAGACAGGGCAGACCTAGATGTTTGAGATTGCACCTTCAACACCTTCAGTTCTATGCAGTGTTCAATGGACAGGTTGTGTTGGTCCTGAAGGGTGAGTGTCATCTGCCAGTGAAATGTCCTGCTGAGGAGGAAAGTCTGTGCATTCTGGTCTGGCTTTTGTCTTCATATAGTTTAAAATGACATTTTAATTTTCATGATTTCGTAACATTTTAAATGTTTGTGTTATGAAATAATTTTGCTTTGGTGAAAAGCTGGAGGAGTTTTATTTTACGCATGTCTGTGTAATAGAATAATATGCCTCTCCCAAAAAAACCACTGCATTTTCCATAGTGTTTTTCAATTATTTTACTGAGGTGCATTCTGTGCCTGAATTTGACACTCATAAAAGAGGAATAACAATATTGACATCCTTTATAAAATGCTCTTAAGTTCCTTTGAGAACACTATGTAAGAGCTACATAATGGTGGCATTTAGTTAAGTGACAAGTACTGACTGATAGTCAGAAGTGTAGACAAGGTAGAAGGCCTGTACGGAAGGGAGTGGTAGCTCCAAAGGCTGGGTGCAGGTTCATAGACAGAAAGAAAATGCTCTCTCAAAATACAAAACCCAGGAGAGATTTTCATACAACACAACATGAATATATTTCTCTGATTTGGGGGCAAGTGGCAGAGGGTAAGGTTTCCAGACTGATTCTGCAGTTATCATGCATGTACAAACTGTATTAACTTTACTTGTATGTATGTGTAAAAACTTAAAGTTGTAATTGGTAAGTAAAATTTATTTTGCTCATTTTAAGGTAGAGAAAGGCCACCTGAAAGGGAGCAAGCCTTTGAATACACTTATTCCAGCAATCTATGCAAATTACTTTGTGATAGATTAGTACATGTCTACCACCTCCCAAGCAGTTTTCTATTAAACCATAAATGAAACAGTATTTTAGGACAAAATGTATTTTGCATTTAAAAAAATTAGCTCACTGGTGTACACTTTTTACATATTTTATTCAACTGCTGGAGGGTGTAAATGCATGCTCGATGTCAGGATATTTCTGTGCAGGATGCATTCTGGAAATTCCTTGTGTCTAACTGCAGGTGGACTTTCAGGTGTTGTCCAATATAATAGCTTGATGTCATTTAGCTGTGTATATTTCACATTGTTACCATATGATAAAACTTTCTTCTTAAAATGTTATGCATATTAATAAAATGTCATGAATATTGATCTTAATTTTAACTCTTAAAATGAAAATTTTATTTATTCTTTTTTTCCTTCCACTGATCAATGTTGAAACAGAAGTCAGTGAAGTTGGGTCTCTTAGGTTCTGGTGTCAAGGTAGACTTAAATAATGGTTCAAACTAGATGATAACTTTGGAGGTTGCTTCTGTTCCTTAAACAGAGAGCGAAATAAGTTTCACCTAGACTTATCAATAAATAAATCCTATGGGGTTTCAAATGCTTCTACCTGTTCCATCCCAGAATCGCTTAAGAATTCAAATAAAAAGGAAATTTGCATTCTGCATGGTGGATTAATGTTACTGGAGCAATCTGCCTGTTACATCTTAGCAAGCTTCAGTTTGCAAGCACATTGTCTGGAACCATTTCAAGGGATATAATTACAGGAGAAGGAGAGAAATGATATCTAAGAATGATGGAAATAGGGACAATATATAGTGTAAAACAGCTGCTACAATACTAGAATACAACCAGTACTGTTACTAGTAAAGAAGCAACAGCAAAGGTGAAAGTGGAAAGAGAAAGTGAAATCATATTAGCTGGTTTTTGTTTTTTCTTTAATCTCTTCAGTGGAAACAGTTTAAATACAGATCTGAATATAGGTGTAAGAAAAATATGTTCCTCACTTTCCTTCAGGATCATGCTGAGACTGCAGCTTTCTCAAAGTTGTATGATGAAAAATTTTGAATACTGGTTTGCTGTGTCAGAGCACTGGTTTGGAAGGTGTGTGTATGCCTTTGTGTTTGTGCATACATAAAATGAATGAATTTTGTGAAAACTGAGTTCATATTGTTTTGACTGAGGAATTGTCAAGTATGTTTTCACTGACTTGGTCAATGTCTCCAAAACTGCTGAATCTAAATTATACAAATTTATTGCAATAGGTATAAATTTGGGGATCCTGTGAGTTTAGAAAACATGTTGGAAATGTCATGTGTTTTGTGGCTTTCAGTTCAGCTAATAACCAATGTGAAAATAAATGTGTACCCAGAAGAGGTGTGGCTGAGTGAGGTAATTGAAAAGCATTTGAAATATTTCTGATTTATATGAATTATAAATATTTAGTCTTAGAAAAAATATAACTGACCCTTGCTCTACATTTAAAAGGATAATCTGAAAAATATTTGTTTCTGCTGCTGACCAAGTTAAGAGGGGTAATTTAAAGAGACTCCCGTGTCATTTCTTCCTTTTCCTACTATAAGAAAGGACTGAGTGCAACTGAAGTCCTGGGCAAAGATGTCATATATTGCATAGGATGACAAAAAGTAATGCTTTAATTGGAGGAGCACTCTTTGGACCTGTGTTTCCTCCAAAAGGCAGTTGTGTTTGGGTATTTGCACAGCCCTGTTAAGGAACTTCGGTGTGGCCTTTCCAGAGGTCAGTCTGGAACCGAATCAGGTGCTGTGTTGCTATGAAACCCAGTATATTTGTGTCCTTATTGCTATGAAGGGGCAAAGTCTTGTTTTACATTTTTCAGTCTATCACTTTTATCATCAGGTGAATTTCTTGGTCCAGTGAATTTTTTAAAAGATGACGATTCCTATATGTGTTTTTACAAAGCCAGATTTTTTTCTGCGTGGTAACAAGTGGAAGCAATGCATTTTTAATCCTTGCTCCTTCTTTCATCTAGGCAAAAAGTTGTTGAAGGTAGTCTTACTCATCCCTTTGCACTGACATTGTCTGGGGACACTTTGTATTGGACGGACTGGCAAACGCGCTCCATTCATGCCTGTAACAAAAGGACAGGAGAGAAAAGGAGAGAAATATTATCTGCCCTATATTCACCGATGGACATCCAGGTCTTAAGTCCAGACCGGCAGCCATACTGTATGTTTTACTTTTCCCTGAAACTTTTTGCATGACTTACTTATCTACCATGAAAAACATTAATCATAAAAATGGTTAGTGTGAAGTTGTAAGGTTTTGAACACTTGTCAGGGGATTGGTTGCTAAATGTATAAGTACCCGAATCCTGTTCCTTTCTTTGAAAATTCCAGCCTTAATTGGTATGAGCTCACTCATCATCCGAGTTGGTGACAAGATCCAAAATCCAGTGCGGTACTTCAGTGACATCTTTTGATTTGGAATATCTGAATGAGAATGATAACGACTCACCTGACATTTTAAACACCATTATTTTAAAGACAACTGGAAAAAATGCTTATCATTGCTTGCTTTTTTTTTTTTTTTTAACATATTTTCTGGTAATTCTACTTATTAAAGTTCATGGTGTACTTATAAGTGCAGTTTTTGCACTTGAGGCTTGATCATGTTTATCTTCAATATGAATGTTTCAGTATGGAAGGGATTTAGTTCTGAACTTTTATATGAAACATATACATGTCTCTATTTTTTCTTTATGGATGATGCTACTTCAAAGGAAGGCAGGTTTAGAGAATTGAGATGTGAATGACGCTGTATATATTTTGTATATGCATGTGATTCCATGTGGCAGTTGGTCTAGGTTTTTTTAGGATTCTGAGAATGGGACTTAAAAGCAATGGTGTGGAAATGTATATAATTGAGTAGCTATGGGAAGAATCATCTCTTGCCTAGGGGAGACACTCTTGCCATTTGGATTGGCTTCTTTATTTATGCCAACTGTAAAGTCTGCTTCCCTACAGGCAATGTTTGTTGTTCCAGTAAAGTTTATAGGATGTCAGTAAACAGGCTTGAAAGTAAGGAAAAGGATTTTGGAGATCCATCTTGGTGATGGAACATGTGCAAGTTCTCACTGAGGTTGTTGGGAATGCACAGCACTCTGGTTTATCTCACAGCTCTAGATAAGAGTTTGTCTATGCTGAATTCTTGTCATTGCTTTTAGCTCAGGGAATGTCCCAGCCTTGGGTCATAGTATTTTTGGGTCAGTCACAAAGAAAATATGGCGCATAGGGAAATAGCATATGCTGAAAATAGCTCAGATGTCATTGACTTCATTAAGATCAGGCTTGGATTCCTTCCTCTCCTTTTTTTTCCTCTTTGTGACTGTCAGTGGAAGTAACACAAGCCAAATTAGCCTGAAATTTTTTTGGTTTTATATTAAAGCAGTTCATATGCTTATTCAAACTATGATTGATTTTGGAGAGATCTTGCACAACTTGCAGTATTTTTTTTTTACTAGCTGGCAATATTCTCCATTATTACTTACGGTTACAGTTTCATCTCTTGCTGCTGTTTTTTTCCCATGTAAATGAGATAGGTGTTGTGTGTCCATCCCCCATCCTCCCCCAACTTTTTTTTTTTTTTTTACTTTTTCAAAATTGCTGACTTTACACATTGCTCCTCTGTATTTCCTGGTGATTCTGGGATATGTCTTGCTGTGAAAGCTTTGCAGTAGGAAAAGATATTTCCAACATGCAACACTACTGTAATGTAGGAATTGTACAAATTGTTTTGTTTTCCCTTCTGTCTAAAAGGGAAGAGCAAGCTAGTCATCCCACACCATCACCACCCTCCAAGCCCCGTTTTCCATTTTCATGATGCTTAGCAGACCTGGCATCACAAAGTAACTGATGTCCAAAGCGCTTAGCTGTGTTCAGCTTTAGAAACATTGAAAGAACTGTATAGTGAGATTGTGCTGAACTGTTAGCTTTTTCAAAATGAGCTTTTGTGTGCATCTCAGTTTAGGTGCCCCTAGAAGTAAGATGCTGGGGAGGGGGGAATCAAACACTTTTATTTTGTGGTTCCTCTGTCTTTCAGCATTAAAGCATGTGCCGGTCATTTGTGATCTATAATTACTTCCTCATGGAGAAAAGAGGGCTTTAGGGGTTCTAGAAAAATGAAAATAAATCTGTTTGGTTTCTTGAAGTTCACACTCCATGTGAAGAAAACAACGGTGGTTGCTCCCATCTATGCCTGCTGTCTCCAAGAGACCCCTTCTACAGCTGTGCCTGTCCCACTGGTGTGCAGCTAGAAGATGATGGCAGGACATGCAAATCAGGTACGAGCTTGGCTTTTCTACAGTGACAGTGTTGACTTGGTTTGGGTTTGCCACTTAAGTTGATCCTTGAAGAAGTGAGTTGAGAGGAGCTGCCTGACACTGAAATGTCACTCTTGTCCTGATGAAGATGGCAGAAACTTTGCAACCAAATCACCTGCCAAGCTACCACAGACAGTGATTTTAATGAACTAAAGTAATCCCTTGCATCAGAAATCAGAGACTTTTGACTGTGTTTTGTGTCTTTTGACTGTATTTTGAGTTGACAGTTCTCTGTAAGAATGAAGTAGTATGTAGAGCCCATTGCAGAAGAATTTTATTAGAAGTAAGCTATTGTAGGACATCTTTCCGTTTGGATGATGGACCATGGACTTCCGTTCCCTCCCATTCATTGTTCAGTAGTGGTCAATGATGCAGTAGTGGTGGCCGAGTTACTGCTCTCCAGTTGCATCTCAAAGTTAGCAATATGCTTGAGACATGTTCTGCACACGGATGTGCCAAAAATTTGTACAAGGCCACGTCCACATGCCCATGTACTATTTTAGAGATAACCCAGTGAGTTGCCCCTGCCTCAGTTAGTTTTACAATTAAATAATCTGTACAGAAAAATTCAAAATTAAGATTTAAACTAAAAATGCCATTTTTCTGGTTCTGAAGATTAATTATCCCTCTGTTGCCTTTTGGGCTGCTCTGTGGGAAGGATTTATGAGAAAACTGCACTGGGAATTTTTTCTTCCTGGGTCTAGTTTGTGGGTTTTGTACATTGTATTTGATTTTAAAAAGTGAAGCTCTTTGTGTGACGAGGCTTATAAAGTTTGCTGCTTGAGATAATTGAGCTAGAGAAAATAATGTTGTAGGTGGCTCTTCCATGTCAATGAGAAGTAGGAGAGGCTTGTGTATTACCAGTAGAAAGCTGTTTAGAGAATAATAGCTAGAGTATATGCTTTAATTGAAAAGTATAACTAGATGGGTATTTCATATCCATAAGTTCAATGAGTCTAGTGGTATACTTCGAAAGCTTGGTTTTATCATTGATCAGGAAGCCTTTTAAAAACGCATCTTACAAAAGTGGGCAATTAACACTGATACGGCAGTAGGATACTAGGAGGCAAGGTTTTGGAGAATGTTCTGCCAGCAGACTAGAAGAAATTCTGCTGCCTGTCTCCGATGCGTTTTCAACGAGTCAAAGAGAGTAATCATTTTCTGATGTGGCTTAATTCCTCTGAGTACTAAAGCAAGCGTAATAGATTCCTCTCATTTCTGAACTTAAAGCAGAATTTGAACACTGAACCTCCAGGGTTTAAGGGCCAGCTTTATTAGCTCATGCTGCTGCAATTGAAAGGCTTGTAAGGTAGTTCTTGCAGCTGCAGAAAGACCTTTCTCTTTCCTCCTTCCAGCTTTGGGAAGTTTCCCTTTCACAGCTTTTAAAAAATGTTGCTGAATGCTCAGGACAACCTTTTTAGTTGCTCATATTGACCTCATGTTTACAGTGGGAACAAAGGTCAGCCTGCTTTTGGCATTTTGGTGGATAGCACAAGCAGGAGTGACTGCTTATACTGTGCTTTCACCTTTCCGTTGTCAGGCCAGACAATCTGTCAAGGGTGTTCTGTCAAAGGAGGGCAAAAAAGTGGGATGGGAACAGGAAATCTGATTTTGCAAAAGCACGTGGCCTTTTGTTTTACTTTTATGGATTATTTCTTTCCCAAGCTCCACATCTTTTGTTGTCCTGTCTGCCTTATGCCAACATCCATGTGCTTCTCTTTCCCCTTTTATTAATTAACTCCTTGGTTGCAAGGAACTGACTTTTTGTTCTCTGCACAAGTCCTTTGTAGTAAAGTTTTATTGGCAACTACGGATGCAGCAACATTGACCTCTTCTCCATTTTGTTCCCTATTGGCTTGGGCAAAAGTGGAAAAGTATGAAGTCACTTGGGTGTATCAGCTTCTTCGACATTAGGCTTTTAAGTGAATTACACAAATGCTACTAGGGATTTCTCTGCAAGAGGAAAAAGCATTCTGTTCTCAAAGTCTGTGTCCACATGGGGAGTTTACCGGTGCAAATATAATTATGTAATTTTACTGTATATCTCTGTCAGAAAGTATTCTTATGCAGAAAAGCCCTGAGGCCCTTAGGCGATTTCAGCTCTTTTGGATATTGAAGAATAGATATATTGGTAATGTTCAGGTATGAGATCTCTGTAGCTCTTTACAAAGAGTGTTGAATAGTAATGGGCCTAGGTGATTAAGAAAACATGAATTCAAGCACAGGCTGTGCCGCTGTTTGCTTTGCTGTGGGTTATGTCTGTATGCATTGAAACTCCAAAACTCTGGATTTTTACACTTTTTCTAAACATAGAACTGTTGATATGCTGAACCCATAAGTATTGTGTCTGTGTTAAAAGAAAAGTTCATTATTCTGTAGTTTTGTTTTTTGGTGTTGATTCATTCTTGCTTTCTCTCTGGTTCTAAAGAGTTGCTCTGAACAATATCTACAGTAGTTATCCATCACTAATAATGGATATTAACTATATGGATAGACTGCAACTGGCATCAAGTATAAGTTCCTCTCTGGGAATGTGTACTTGTTTTATTCAGGTAGATGTTTTGTGTTGCTTCCCTCCAGAGGTGTGATATTAAGTCTGTTTTCCTCTGTTGGCTGTGAAAATGCTCTGGGCTTGCTTGAAGTTCCCATATCAACAAGCAGAGGGGTCTTAAGTTTGGAAAGTAAATCAGCTGCACCTGACTATTCTTAGCAGAGTGAACATTCAAGCTATGATCTTTGGAATTATTTAAGAAGTTGTGTTGGACCACTGCTGTCTTGGTGAATGTGTCCAAATACACTATTTTAGATAGGTATCTGAAGCCAGTCTTGCCTGTGTAGAAGATAATGAGGTCACAGTTTGTAATGCCCATCAGAACTCAGTGGCTCTAGTCTGAAGTGCCTATGGACCATGGCCTAGTCAGTAGTAACACTTAGTACCTTGTAACTTCCAGGAATGACTGACCTCTGAAATGTCGTGTTTCAAAACGGAGCTTTACTTCTTAGACCAGGTGGCTTTGCTCATTGGGGCGGTGGTGGTGGTGTTGGGGTTTTTTTAATTTTCTATTTTGGTTTGAAAATCTTCTCTAAGCCTGCTTGAACAATGGCATGAATGTTTGAGAAAGGAACAAAGGTTTCGTTGCAGTCATTTAAAAGGGATATGTAATTCTACCTAATTAGTTCTTTATTCATGCAACCATAAAATTGTAAGCCTGCTCTAGTTAAGCTTCAGTTTCTTGCTTTAGATGCTTTCTGATGCAAATAATCAAAGTCTTAAGATCAAAGTAAAAATTATGTGTTCTATGCATACTTTCAGGGAGGCAAAGTTTGGTTTGATCAGCAACGCACAAGCAAATAGGCCAGTTTAGAAAGCGGAGCAGAAGCGTGGAAATTTTAAAAGCTTGGGGACCTTCTTTCAGTCATTTTGCTGACCTAGGAATATCCTGAGGTTTTTCTTTCTTTCTTTGTTTAAGTATCACATATATCTTCTTTATGATCAGAATTATTTTGATTCATGAGTTTCGTTTGTCTGTGAGGACTCCTTTCAGGACGCTGTTCCTTATCCTTCTGTCCTGAAGTTCCCTTCCTAGGATTTAGTGAGTTCTGTTGTTGGGCTAGTAGTAGTTTGAAGTGTTGTGAAAAAGACAAATGTATTAATAGCTAGAGTCATGTCTCCAATGGTAAATAATTTGAACCTTTCTTACCTTGCAGGGCAGAGTCTTCAGGTGATAGCTGCATGTCATCTCCTTCGAGCAGCTTCACCTTCCTCAAGCTTCTCATTCTTGCTTTCCTTGGTGCACAGTGAACGACATGAGTTTATCTGACTACAGCTCTGGTGCACCTTTGGTATAATTTGTACCACTTAATATGAATATTTCCAGGCAAAATGGAGCCAGGGTCTTTCCAACCTGTTCTGCTTTCATGGAGCAGGTTTGCTTTGCTCTGCTGGGTGGAGGTGGAGTCTCAAAATGTTGGATGACTCCCCCTGCTTTTTCCTTCCCTCTTTGACTTGACCATGTGGTTCAGTTTAATCGCATTCAAGCAAGTCTAGAGGTTTGTTGTATATCTTGTCAGCTAATTGTGATTAAACCCTGATCCCAGTCTCTCATACAACTGCTATCTGTATGCATCCTTCCAAGATTGAGCCGGTTCTGTAAACAGTGTTCAGCAGCCTGTTTCTCTTATGATCATCCTGGCTTGTATCAGGAATAGTGTGACCAGCAGGAGCAGGGAAGTGATTGTCCCCCTGTACTCAGCACTGGTGAGGCCGCACCTGGAATACTGTGTCCAGTTTTGGGCCCCTCAGTACAAGAAAGACATTGAGATGCTTGAGTGTGTTCAGAGAAGGGCAACAAAGCTGGTGAAGGGTCTGGAGCACAGGCCTTATGAGGAGCGGCTGAGGGAACTGGGGTTGTTTAGTGTGGAGAAGAGGAGACTGAGGGGGGAGACCTTATTGCTCTCTCCAACTACCTGAGAGGAGGTTGTAGTGAGGTGGGTGTTGGTCTGTTCTCCCAAGTAGTTAGCGATAGGACAGGTTATAGTCATAGGAGACTCCCTCCTGAGGGGAGTCTGGAGCACAGGCCTTATGAGGAGCGGCTGAGGGAACTGGGGTTGTTTAGTGTGGAGAAGAGGAGACTGAGGGGGGAGACCTTATTGCTCTCTCCAACTACCTGAGAGGAGGTTGTAGTGAGGTGGGTGTTGGTCTGTTCTCCCAAGTAGTTAGCGATAGGACAGGTTATAGTCATAGGAGACTCCCTCCTGAGGGGAGCAGAGGGTCCAATATGCCGGGTGGACCCTCCTCATAGGGAAGTCTGCTCCCTGC